GGCCGCCGCTGCTCGCGGGCGCCCCCGGCGGCGGGTCGGCAGCGCGGGTTCCCGTGGAGCGGCGGCGAGCGGGCCGCGGAGGCCCGGCTGAGCTGGGCTGGGCCCCGGCGGGAGCCCGCCCGCGCCGCGTCCTCGCCGGCGGGTGCGTGGAGCGGGCGTGCGCCCGGCTGCGGGCGGGCACGGGCACGGTGCGCAGCTGTCCTGCGGAGAGAAGGGAGCCGGCGCCGGCAGGAGCCGCGGCGACAGTCACGAGCTCAGATGGAAGTCCCGGCAGCAGCCGTGGTCACAGCGGTGAAAAAGCCGTGTGAGGGGACGAACAATAAGTAGTGCGGTGGCAACGGGGTGCTCCTCCAGTTTGCTGCAGTGCTCCACTCGGGTGCCTGCTGCATTCCGCTACAGAGTTTGGTTTCTTTCCCCGATCCCAAACTCCTGTGTGCTCACCAACACGACTTTCAGCTAGTTAATCATTCGGTAATTTATTCCCGTTTAGCAGATCTTAACAGATTCGTAGCAAAATTGTGTATTGTTTAATGAAAATAGAAGGTATCACTGCTAGATCGTCAGCAGTGGCGCTTTGCTGTGTGCTCAAAAGGAAAGCAGGGCTTTCCCCAGCTTGCAAAGAGCTCTGAAACCTGTTGGAATAGTTAGTCGTGCCATTTGGTGGATTGGATATAAGGACCAAAACTTTATTATAAGGGTGGTGAGGCGCTGGAACAGGTTGCCCAGAAAGATGATGAATGCCTCATCCCTGGAGACACTCAAGGTCAGGCTGAATGGGGCTGTGAGCAACCTGATCTGCTGTAGGTGTCCCTGTTCATTGCAGGAGGGTTGTACTGAATGTCCTTTAAGGGTACCTACCAATTCAGTTTCTTGATTCTTTGATGCCTCATTCTAGATCAGCAGAGCCAGGCAGCCCAGGAAAACACACACAATATTTCTTAGTTTTCTTTTACCTGTTTCACATACTTATACACTTCCTTTCTGACTTTGACTTCATTTCTGATCAATCTTAACATCTGACTGCATAGCCCAAATAATTTTAACATTTGTTTATTCTTTTTTTTCTCTTTTTCTCTCTTTTTTTTTTTTTTTTTTTCAAGTCGATAGTTCCATATGCTGCAATGCCAGGCTTGCAAAAACTGTCTGATGCTGAATGTTTCTACATCATACATCATCAGCCATTGCCAAGGGGTGGAAGTTGCATACCTACCAGCTGCTTCCATTTTCATATCTGGTCAAGGGTAAATAGGCACTGAGGAGTGGCATTCCGAGTAGCTGCATGACAGGTGATGGAGGGAGATGTCTGAACCAAATATTGGCTTACCCGATCAAGTAGTTGGCAACCCTGCCTATGGCAGGGGGGTTGGAGTTCTAGGATTTTTAAAGTCCTTTCCAATCTAAGCCATTCAGTGACTGCCTCCCTCCCCCATGTGTTTCCTGCCCCTATCACAAGGGCTGTCTGTTGGAGATTGGGACTGAATAATATCACTTCTGTATTTTTCAGTGTTTCTGTGCCAAATGTCTCCACCGTTTGTTTGGATACCCAATATCCTGGGTGTTTCTTGACATGCATCCATCTGTGGCCCAATGTGCCATCCTTGGGGCTGCTTTGCCTGCTTGCCATGCTCTTCTCTGATCTTACTCACCTCACTCAGCAGAAAACTGTCCCCTCTTCTGGGTGAACTAATAGATTGACTTTGTGGAGTCCTGTAGAGTTTTTCCTGGCTTTTGGATCTAGGGAAAAGTGAGTAGCAGGAAAACAGTCAGAGAAGTAAAGAAACCAGCAGAAAGTAAACATGATTTATGGCAACAACAGAACTATTATCAGATGAGTTTGTGCAGTCATCTGTAGAATCTGTCTAAATAATAACGGAGTGTTTTAGCACTGAGCGTGGTGTCATTTTAAATAATTGAAAATGCCATGCTTTAATGCACTAATGTAAAACAGATTTTATCATTTCTTAATATGTTAATGTTTTCCTGTCTTTCAGGCTGAAGGTGGCCCTTTGTAAGGGTTAATCATCCGTCAAATATTTAATAATTGTTTGTTCAGAAAATTTCCTGCATTGTTCATGGTAAGGCTTGTATTTCATATTTCACTTTTAGTTTGTTATGCTGCCACATTTTCTATGCTGTTTTCACTACTAATATTTACTTCAGTTGTAAGGACTATCATACTGTTGGGTCATGCATTTAGAGAAAATTGCAACTTCTCAGAAGAAGTTTTCAATTTTGGATGACTGAATCAATATATAGGTTTAAATAAATTAATTTCTTAATACAAAGAAAACACAACATAAATAGTTGTGTCTATAAAGCTTATAATCCAGGGGAATATTTTTATGTCTTTATTTCTAATTTCCAAAGAGGTTTCAAAATAATGCTTTGATAATCTGAAAGGCTTCTCTGACCCTGTTAAGCCAAATATTTCATTTGTTTTAGAGCGTAAATGTCATCAGCTGGTGGAATTTTATGACTTAGCCTATTTTATCCCAAAACTTTCCCTTGTTATTTTACAGGAGTTTTTCATCAGTATGTCTGAAACCATTAAATATAATGATGACGATCACAAAACTGTGTTCTTGAAAACATTAAATGAACAACGTTTGGAAGGAGAATTTTGTGACATAGCTATCGTGGTTGAAGATGTTAAATTCCGAGCACATAGGTGTGTGCTTGCTGCCTGCAGTACCTACTTCAAAAAGCTTTTCAAAAAACTAGAGGTCGATAGTTCCTCAGTAATCGAAATAGATTTTCTTCGTTCTGATATTTTTGAGGAAGTTCTTAATTACATGTACACTGCAAAGATTTCTGTTAAGAAGGAAGATGTAAATTTGATGATGTCTTCAGGCCAGATTCTTGGTATTCGTTTTCTGGATAAACTCTGCTCTCAAAAACGTGATGTATCTAGTCCTGAGGAGAACACACAGTCCAAGAGCAAGTACTGTCTGAAAATAAACCGTCCTATTGGGGAACCTAATGATACCCAGGATGATGAGGTAGAAGAGATTGGAGATCACGATGACAGTCCATCAGATGTGACAGTGGAAGGAACTCCCCCCAGTCAGGAAGATGGGAAATCACCAACCACTACCCTGAGAGTTCAGGAGGCGATTCTGAAGGAGTTGGGAAGTGAAGAGGTTCGAAAGGTAAACTGCTATGGCCAAGAAGTGGAGCCTATGGAAACAACGGAGTCAAAAGACTTAGGATCTCAAACCCCCCAGGCTTTGACATTTAATGATGGCATAAGTGAAGTGAAAGATGAACAGACACCAGGCTGGACGACAGCAGCTGGGGATATGAAGTTTGAATATCTGCTTTATGGTCATAGGGAACACATTGTATGTCAGGCTTGTGGTAAGACCTTTTCTGATGAGGCACGACTGAGAAAACATGAAAAGCTACACACTGCTGATAGACCATTTGTTTGTGAAATGTGTACAAAGGGCTTTACCACACAAGCTCATTTGAAAGAGCATCTGAAAATACACACAGGTTACAAGCCTTACAGTTGCGAGGTATGTGGAAAGTCTTTTATTCGTGCACCGGACTTAAAAAAGCATGAAAGAGTTCACAGTAATGAGAGGCCATTTGCATGCCACATGTGCGATAAAGCTTTCAAGCACAAGTCCCACCTCAAAGACCATGAAAGAAGACACCGGGGAGAGAAACCTTTTGTCTGCAGTTCCTGCACTAAAGCATTTGCTAAAGCATCAGATCTAAAGAGGCATGAGAACAATATGCACAGCGAAAGAAAACAAGTTACTACAGCCAATTCCATCCAGAGTGAAACAGAACAGTTACAGGCAGCAGCTATGGCTGCTGAAGCAGAGCAGCAATTAGAAACTATAGCTTGTAGTTAAAAAAAAAAAAAAAAAAAAAAAAAGAAAGAAAGAAAGAAAAACACCCAGAAACTTTATCAAAAATAATATAAGATATTAAAATGAACAAAATCTATTGTTGATATACATTTAGATCAATAATTATCTTTTGGAAAAAAAAAAACCTCAACTATTTTTATTGGATTTGAATGCTACATAGGAACAGAAGGCATTGTTCAGTTAGGTATCTTAAAAAATTCAGAGATGGGTATTGTTAGAATATAAAATAGTTTTGTTGTCATTAGCAGTATAATGCACTAATAGCTGATTTATTTTAAGGTTATGATCAATTTCTCTATAAAACAGGGATCATCACTGGAGGATATTTTGCTTTATCAAGCATGGAATACTGCATACAATATAGACATCAAAATCAGTGAATGATGTCTAAAATGCTGATAGCTCATAAAATTAGAAACAGAAAGGAAATAGTTGTTTTTCATAATTTTGAAGGTGTTAGGCTTACAATTCTTGAGAAAGAAGCAAGAAATGATTCCCTATTTTTTTTAATGCCTCTTTTTTTTTTTTTTTTTTTTTTTAATACCTAAGGTAGGTGCTAGAGGTTAGTACAGCAGGGTAATGGGGGACTATGATCAAAATTAAATTTCTTCTTTTTCCACTCCCTCAAATATCCTTTCATTTTAACTGAGGTGGCAAGTTTTATTAACTAGGAAGTACTCGCTTTCCTAAAAAAACTGCATTATTCACCATGGTCCAGGCTGGCAAAGAAGGGTCTTGCACTTGCCAGTCCCTTCTATGAGGAAAAAGTGTCTGACTTATTTGTTTCTGTGTTAATTCAGAAGGCCCCAGGATATGGAACAGAACTACAAGGAAAAAAGGTGCAACATGGAGAAAGAGCTATTTTCCTTAATGGGACCTGGTAGAACTGAGTTAAAGCTCATTTGCAGCCTGACATGATAGCTTCTGTTATACAGCTTTCACTCCACCTAACCTAGCACAGTCAAGGCAAAGAGCAGCACAGGAGGATTAAGTGCACTGGCAAGTGACTGAAATTCACTGCTGGAGCATAGGGCACAGCCATGGCCTATTGCATTACCTGCCAGCAGTGTTCAGACTGGGATTTTCTATTTTAGCTGGTTGTACCAACTTGTAAGTCCTGCTCACCTTTAAAGAATTCCACCTTCTGGCACACTGCCACTCAGCAAGAGGGAGACTTCATTGGGTGATTTCAGTCTTAAATTGATTCAGAATCAGTGTTCACTTGTAGTCTGTTACCTGGAGTTTCCTGTCATGTTTTTTTTTGTTGTTGTTTTTTCCGACAAGCTGCTGCTAGTTTAACTGTTAACTCACAGAGTCAACAAAATAAGTCATCTTTGGATTGCAGTCTGCTATGTGTAGTTAACAAGAGAAGACACAAAAATAGTGATAATATGATCCAAAGGGATATCGAGCCTTTATTTAAAATTTGTAAATACTCAACTATTGTCAACACTTCATTTGAAGTAGGAATGGGCAAAAAATGCATTATTTTTGGTACATGGTTGGACAACATTGATCATTTGCGATACCTATAGCATATGAAAGTGTTAGACCAGTTTCTGGTAAGTTACTGTGTAGTAGATCACATTTTGCATTTCTAAGTAGAAATTGAAAATAGCATTTTTGGAACTGTTCTATGAAACTTTGCTTATTGTTTTGTTTGTTTGCTTTTATACAGCTTCGTTATTTTCATGTACCCGTCAGGTTAAGCAATTATCTTAAAATGCCAATAATCGTTTGAAGGCTGGTTTGTAAATAAAACGTGAATTTAATATTTTAGAAAATGTAAACTTTGGACCTTTACCAATATATTTTTTTAAAATGTTGCTTCATTTTACATTCAGTAATATTAGTTTGTAAACAAACTATACATTTTGTATCTGTGCAACATCAGAGGATGTGTATTCATTGCATTTTATTGGTTCTCTTGAGGAACATGATAAATGACCATTGTTAAAATGTTTTATTGTATATGATCACAGATAAAGATAGTAGGTCCAGAATGGGATCTACTTTTTTCTTTCTAAGAATATTGGTCTTGTTATGTTTTCTTGTCTAAAACTTTGTTCACTTACTTTTTCTTAGGTGTTAAAACTGGGGTCGCTAAGCCTGCATAAAATAAATCTGTTGTGAAAAGACTTCAAAAGCATAAAAAATGAACAACCTAGATTTTCTCTAGGTCTCTTACGAAGAGTGCAAGAGGTGATTAGCTGAAATTGCAGCAGTGAACATTTACATTAGACATTATGAAAGACTTTTAAGGGGTAAAGAATTATTAGAAGAGAATGCCTGGAGAGGTGGTGCAATCTCTGATGGTGGTGATATTCAAGAACAGGTTAGACAAACATCTGTTAGGAATGGTTTAAGTGTAGTTCATTCTGCCTCGAAGCAAAGGGATAAGCTGAATAACCTCTGAAGAGTCTCTTTAACTTTGGTGTTGGGGTTTTTTTTTTAGGATGCTGGGGAAGTAATGAATGCGTGCTTGAATGAAAGGAAAGCTTAAGGCCTACAGTTCAAAAAATACGTATATTGCCCCCTGACATTTGTGCACAAGCAATTGAGATGTCAATTTCAGTCATATGGAAAAGCAGGTTTGCATTAGAAGACTGGCAACTGGACATGTAATAACACTGGATTTTGCATCAAAGTAAATTTTGCCATTGTTTAAGTTTACAGCTGTGAGAAATATATAAGATTACAGCTCTAAGGGTTGTGTGATGTCTGTGGCATTTTAAAATTGAGGCAGATTGATTTTCAGGAGCAGAATTCAGAAACAGGTGCTTTTGTCACACATGCCCTGTACATGGCATAAACACTTTACATGAGACTTCAAGTGAAAACAGTGGAATTAATCCCACGTCATAGGTTTCAAGAGTCACATAGGTCTCCTACTAGTTTTAGTTGCAGGGGAGTCAGAAGAACACTGCATTTTCTAGAGAATGATGGTATTGATCATGAAGGCAAAGGTTCTGTTATTTTTATTAGGTTGAGAATTTCATTGGATGTTTCTGCTCCATCTGTGTGTTTTAAGATGCAATCTTTATTTTTCCTTTTTCCTTTTCTCCTTCCACTTCACTTCTGTTTTATTCTGTGAAAACTAATAGACTTTTCTTGCCTTTCCAGATATCTCTATTCAAAACAGGGCCTGGAATAATTTTGAAGTTCTGGAAAAGGTCTTAGAAAGGAAGTGTCAAGATAACCTTTGCTGTATGCTGTTGTTAGTGTACCCTAAGTTAATCCTGTTATATGTATATGATCTGAAGGGATAGCAGCTTATGTGTTCTGGGGATCTGACTGTGAAACTCAAGTAGATATAACTGCTTCCTGACACTGCTGCTCAACACTTCTCTCCTGTCTTTACCAGAAGATGCTAAGTACAGAAGCAGATGTATGGCAGCTCCAAGCCATAACGGTTTTCCAGCATGGTAAAATGGCAATGTCTTACTTTTGCTTTTAGAAGGATGGCAGTTTCTTTTCAGAGCTCACGACATAGTGAGTGAGATTCTGGCCAATTAATGGGAATTTTGCTATTGACTTTATTGGTGCTGAACTAGCCTAATATTTCTAACAAAGTTTGCAGACAAGGAACAGGTTAACATGAAAGATTGATAGAATGCTATAGAAACATGGATGGCTAAAATTGCATTAGGTATGAATTAAATGGTCTTCTTTGTTGCTTCAGAATTAAGTAGCAAAAATATCATGCACGGAATTATTCCTAAACAGACATTTCTCCATCTAATGTTTTTGAAACTTAGGCCAGTGATGTCTTTATTATACACAGAATAGCAAAAACTTTTAGTCATTTGTCTCATATTGAACACATTGTGGTGGCAGGTGACCATGGGGCTTCAGTGGAGGTCTGTGTATATTAAAATTAAGCTTAGAAATGAATAGTTGTTTGTATGATCAGGACTGTATGTGTGTATATATATATATATATATATATATATATATATATATATATATATAAGTTCTGATGTATATAAACTGCAACATCATGTCAGCCAATGCTCTGGTGACCCAAATTGGTCTGTATGATTACTTTAGCCTTTCTACTGGTGTCAAAGTCTCCTGAATTGTAAAAAGATGTAAGCACCAGAAGGCATAGACTAACTTAAGGTGAAAAGAAATACTTGAAGTAATTGCTGTTCTGTGATCTTAACTGCGTGCTCTTAAAAACAGGTGTTTACTAAAGAGGAAAAAAGAACAAAGAGAGCATTAGAAAGAATACCTGCCAGCTCTTTTCCATTCTCAACCCCTCTTCTACACACAATTCTTACCAATATTTAAACAAACATTAGAATACTAAGCAATTCACAGCTGAGAACCTTAGTTGTCATTTTCTGCTCTAATATTGCAAAGAAAATGGTTTAGGCCTAGAGATCAGAGTTTTAAATGTTGATGTCATGTGAAAACAAATGCCTCATGCTGACTTCAGTAGCAAAATGTTGAAGCGTTCAGCTTCTATTTGTGTAACCTCGTGTAAGCTGCAGAATACTGAAAACTCATCAGAATTTTGCAGTTTAGCTACCCAACCTGGAGGTCTTCTGGAGATCTGACTCTGGTTTCTAATCCAGACATAGCTTTAGGGGTGCCTTCTTAATTCCAGTATGAAAAAGGATATTCAAATTAATAGAGTTGGGTGAGATATAGAATAAAATATCAGATGGTACCAGAAAGTCTACACTAAGCTTAAAATGTATTTTTAGAGACAGATTATCTATTCTGAAGTCGTTTATCAAATTTTAGACACTTCTCTGTCATACAGAAGTTGTACATATCTGAAATAAAGTGCATCTATCACTAACAACATTTTTTTTTCCTGAAAGTAAGCATTTACAAAGAAGTACAATACAGCATAATTTCACCTAGAAGGTAGAGATAGATTAAAAAAAATATTCATTCTGTTAGTCCACAGATCACAGTGGTATGCTCAGTAAGCCAGAAATGTGAATGTTTCATTAAAAATTCCATTACAGCAGTTGATCAGTCATTTGTCTCCATATAGAACTAAAACAATTATAATAGCATTCATCTCAGAGCAGATGAGGATTTCCATGAATAGATTTTGTTAAATATGTATTGTAATAGTTGAGACATATTTTCACAGGAATGATTCTGAAATGTAATATAAGAGATCTGAAATAATAGAATATCTAAAAATAGTGATTTATTTAATATTGATATCTTTTTGAAAGTATTTTTCTCCACTATCCTCTTATATTTTTTATTTGCAGGCCTTACTCCTTCGGATATTTATAAAGCTCTGAAACTTTAAGACCTTCAACAATTCTGATAGGAACAGAACAGTGCTGAGAGCTCTATATGACAGAAATAGACTGAAGTCTTTCTGTTTTTCAACAATCTGCAGCTAAGTATCTAATTTTATAAAGATGAACTTGAAAAACACGTAGACCTTCTGAATAAAGTTGTTCCAAGTCTAAAACATTTATTATTAAAGTAAAGCATGACTATCAAAAGGCTTGGTCAACAGCAGAAATACTGTGTACCTGTATCCCAGATTCCTTGTAGGGTACATATGCATATATTTATATAAAATATTTCTATACCTGAGATATCTGTGTACATTTAAAAGCCTGTAGCTCTTGAAAGGATACAACAAGATTGTCAAGTGTAGTACTAATAATATATTGAAAATCTTAGTGAATGGAAATTCCAAATATATTTTCTTTTTCATAATGTTGACCACTTTCCATAAATGTATATAGGACAGTAGGAGCGTATTGCATACTCTGCATGTATTTAGATTTAAAGCTGAATTTTAATGTAGAACTAAAAGAAACTACTGGAAGTATGCACTGAATGTAGATGGTCTTAGAGGAATCATAAAATTATGAGAATTGTGATAAATGATAATTTAAACTCCTCTGTTTTAGAAAAAAATACATTTTCTAAGGCAAAATCTTTTTTTTTCTTTTTTTTTTTTTTTTAATTTAAAGACACACACACAAAAAAAGCAAAAAACGTGATGACAGCAACAAAGCACACTGCTTACTTCTGTGGTTTTCTGACTTCCTCCCAGCAGGCAATTTATACATTTGAGTAATCTACATGTACAAGCAAGTTAGCTGTGGGGAAGCTCAATTTTTAGAATATTTTAGAGACAAAAATACTGAAGTTCTCATTCTTCACTAATGAAGATCCTGATTTTTTTTCAAGGTCACAGATACCAGAAACAGTGCTTGTATAAACAAATCCTTGCAGTGGCATAGCAGAGTATTCAGGCAAGAGGATGTCATCTGCTAGCATTCCACTCTAAGATGAAAAATTCATTTTTTCCTTTTGCTCTAGAAATTGAAATTAAAAAAAAAAAAAAAAAACCCACAAAATACTGTGTAGCTTCAGGCAGGGTTCCTCTTTGGGGGAAATTATCAATTATCTGCAGATTTTTGGTTGTTTTATACTTGTCGTCAGCATAACTGTAGTTTTACAGAGTAGAGTTTTCAGGACTGTGTATCTTCAGATGAAGATATTTGTCCTACTTGGCATACTGTCAAAGCTTGTTAATGTGTTTCTGTTGTGTTTAAGATTGCATAGGCAAAGCACAGGAGAACAGTTGGAGTAAAAGCAAGAATATACTGTGACAAATATTCTCAAACTTACACTTAATCAGCTCTAGTACAAACAAAATGCAAATCTGTATTTGCTGTATCTAATGCAGTTATATTTAAGAACAACTTTTCACTTGCTTACAAAGTCAGTAGCCTCAGATAATGCTTGTTGTTTTGTGTTAGTTGTATTAACCTCCAACATTTAGAATCTGCATACACATTTTTTGTCCTGAGTGTGAGAACCATGGAGTATCTTTTGATATATATCTATCACAGTAGAAATGTCTACTGGTATTGACTGTGTCTAAGCAGCATTTAATCCTGTTTTTGTATACTAGGGAATCTCTTTTCCTTGTGTCCTAAATAAGCCCATTACCATTCCCCCATTCCCATTTCCTTTTAAAAAAGATTAAAGTTTCCCTGAGCTGTGCTTAGGACATTAAAGATTTTTT